GAGAGTGCACAGGGCTCTGTACTAGCACCACACTCCCATTGTCTGGGAATTTTCTACTAGCTGCTTCTGGGGTGCATGGTCTGTGGTGCCCCACTGCACCACTGACAGAGAGCTGCTCAAGGTAAGTCCCTCCTGCCCCATCCCTGCTCCTCCCCCCAAGCCAGAGCCCCCTCTTACACCCCAAAGCTCTCATCCTCACCTCCACCCTGGAGTCCACACTCTACTCAAATTATGTTGGGTTGTGGTAGTTTTTTTTCAGCTGGATCACAAGAGAAAAAGTTTGAAAACCACTGCTATAGAGGACTACTCTTTTCCAGACCTCTGACTAAGGCCACGGTCATGCAACTTCCTCCTAGTAGGTAGACTTATACACCCACATCATGGTCCATTGACTTTTTTGCAGTTATGCATGGATGCCGGAGTCCAAGCTGCCAAATGTAATGCATTTGCCACCTCTTTGCATATTCCTGGGGAATTCTCACATATCTAGCTCTGCGAAGGAGTCCAAGCTGCCAAATAATGCATTTGCCACCTTTTTGCATATTCCTGGGGAATTCTCACATATCTAGCTCTGCGACAGCAAGGCAGCAGGTATTTGCCTGCAGTTCTGCATTTGCATTGCTAGAGGTCACTAAGGCACCCACTGAGCAGTCCGCAAGGCACCATTTCTCCATGGTCCTCCTGCTAGGTCAGGAATGAGCAGCTTGGAGACAGCACAAGACAGCAGCTCCAGACTTCCACTCTAGCTACCTGAAGGGCCCCTACTCCTGTTCCGACAGTCCCTGGCCCTCCTGGAAGCTTAACACTCACCTACTCCCAGGAGCCACCAGCATTAACAGCCGCCCCAGAAACCACACAGCTTCTGTCTCTGTGCATCCCCACTGCCGTTGCCAAGTTTTGTGCAGCTTCATGACCTGCCTCAGCAGGTTACATACAAATCATTTATTCATATGCAAATTAATCACATTTGCATAAAATGTTATAGACAGTGCACAACAAAACTTGGCTGTAATGAGAAGTTCACCAGCGTAAATCCAGTTGCAGAATCAAGATTTAAGTTGTTTCAGTCTCTATAAATTATGTAGATGGCTGTTCTTATTTTATAGATTTTTTTCCCCACTAAATCTACTAGAGTTATCTGGGAGTTGTTTAGCTTTATATGTGTAAGGAAAAGTATTGTCACATTTACTTTTTTTTGTGTAAAGTCCTATTTATTGAATAATTTTATGCTTAGCAACCTGGTGTTATTTATTCAATGTAGTTTGCAGGAAGAAGCAAACTCTGCTTTCCCCTTAAATATTATTTGGAACCAACTCCATTCTTCACAAAGGTCACCTAAATTGAGAGGTCCCAAGGCTAGGTGATGGCATTAGGATTCCAAAAAGGCACTGCTGTAGAAAGATTGAAATACTCAAAATATAAGCAATAGAGAAAACTGTGTCTAGACAGGCATAATTACCATAGAGATTTTATATATATTTTAATTAACGAGCATTTATTGATATATTTATTTATTTCATTTCTTCGTTATTAAAACTTTTGCCTGTTCTGTGCCTTGAGTGCATTTATAAATATTATTTTTCACAATAATACACAGTTCAAAGAAATCCTAATGATGTGTCTCCAAATACTTCACCAAACACCCCTCTATTAGGAAACTATTAGGAATCCTGTTTGTATTTCCCAGTAAATGCCCGGGAGAACAAATGAACTGTGCAACTTGAACTGATCCTTTCATTTTTAACTCTGACAAATTGAAACCAGAAACAGACTTCACAGTTTACCAAGGGTATGTTTACATTTCAATTAGACACCCGCAGCTAGCCCATGCCAACTGACTTGGGCTTGTGGGGCTCAGGCTAAATGCCTGTTTAATTGTGATGTATATCTTCCAACTTGGGATGTAGCCCGAGCTCTGGAATACCCCACTCTCCACAGGGTCCTTGAAACCACCTTCTAGCCTGAGCCTGAATGACTACACCACGGTTAAAAATCCCGTTAGCCTAAGATCTATGGGCCCAAGTGCACTAGCACAGCCTGCCACACATCTTTAATTGCATTGTAGACATACCCTGAGACTGTTCTGCATCCAGCTTCATCTATCACAAACATCCAAAACGTGGTTAGCTCAAGTTCCTCAGCTGATTTCTCTATTACCTTAGCCTTGCATGGAGAGCAATGATTTTCTCTGATTAATTTGGACCCAAATAATATAAGACTTAGTGGAGAAAACGTCAGTATGTGAGTTTGCCCCTGGAAAGCACAGTGGGAGTCAGTGAAGAACATTGAGTACTAGCACAACGTACTCTCAGTGAACAACCTCTTTCCATCTCCTCAAGACAAGTTGCCATGTGCTGCCACAGTTGGTGTTGCTAAGTGAGTTTAAGGTTTATACATGTAGAGTGCATTGCAGTAATTGAGTTGGGAGGTCATAGACCTCTGAGGTGAAGTCCAAAAGAAGATGGCACAACCTATTGACTGTTATCTGTAAAGGGTAAAAAGTTATTAGGAAAGTTGTGGATAAAATGGAGAGAGTCCAGAGGAAATCAACAAAAATAGTAAGAGCTTAAGAAAACATGACTTATGAGGAAAGGTTAAAAATACTGAACATGCTTACTTTTGAGAAAAGAAGATTGAGGGAGGATCTGTTAACAGTTTTTATTTATGTTAAGAGGTGTTATAATGAGGACAGTGATCAGTTGTTTCTTATGTCCACTGAAAGCAGTACAAGAAGTAAAGGATTTCAGTAAGGGAATTTAAATTAGATATTAAGAAGATCTTTTCAGTCTTCAAGAAAAACAGTTAAGCTCTTAAACAGTCTTCCAAGCGGTTATGGAATCTGCATCATTGGAGTTTTAAGAATAATTTGGACATATATATCTGAGAGGTGATCTAACTTGGTCTTGTATCAATGCAAGAGGGTGGGAGGGGACTGGATTTGATTACATCTCAAGGTTTCTTCCAGTACAAAGTTTTTATGATTCTGTAATCTCAGTCTTAACCAGATGGCAAGCTGGGTGATAGTCTATCATTCAAGCCGCAGTCTTAGTTATGTGCTCCATAAGATGGTCAACAAGTGCTCTAGCCAGGTGTGAAAAAATTGAGAGACAGTCAGCCGTCATTTACAAATACCAGGCAGATCTTGGCCCTGCTGTACTCAGTTGCAGAGTACTGTCCACCAGTGTGGGCAAGAAGCTGCCACACCCAACTTGTGGGGAAGCAGTTGAATCAGATCATACTAATTAGCATGAGAATTTTAAAATCAGTACCTCTACTGTGGCTTTATATATAGCAAACATTGAATTTCCAGCTATCCTTTGAGATGTGGATAGCATGACCACTTAAATGTGCCAAAGATTACCCAGCACTTCTCATCTAGTGGTTATGATAACATACTCTAACAATGCCTGAAATTGCAAAAACCAGTATGGATCTTGTGACCACCTCATGCCTTTGAATCTGACCTGGGAATGGCAAAGTATCTTGCCCTCATCTACCATTCTAAACAATCATATTATTACTGACCCAACAAGCCGCCCTACAGTTTTCGACCTGTCACACAGTTTGGACCACATCCAAACAAGCCATATAAGATGTAGGCACTTAATACACAAATGTAAAATCAAAGATCCCCCTTTGTGTGGCTATAGTGAGAACATTCAAAACTTCTCAACACATCATAATGCAGTGTCCCAAATATGGATTCACAGGTGATTTGGGTGATATCCACAGTGGCACAAAGACTTTGAAATGTCTTGTGGACCTAGAACTGCAGATATAGAATGTTGGTTTGTAGATGCCATGCGCTTATGAGAGAGAGAGAGAAAGAGAAATCACACATGGATAAGTGTGGAGATTGAGAAAGAAAAACAGCATAGAATACTCTGTCCTTCCAGGGTAGTACAGTAATTTCTCATTTAACACGGTAGATATGTTTTCAGGAAATGATCATGCTAAGTGAAAACGTGTTATGCGGGGTCAGTTTTCCCATTGAAAATAATGGAAAAGGTGGGGGTTGCGTTTCAAGCACATGTGCGCTTGCAGCTCCAGTCTGTACTTGTTAGCAGCTGGGACCAGGACATAAGGTTGGGGGAGAAAGGGGACTGGGTTATAGCAGGGAGGGGAGGTGTTTGGTTCTGGAGAAGGGAAGAGAAGGACATGGGAGGGGTCTTGCAGTCAGAGGCTGGGTTTCCTCAGGTGGCCGATCACCGGCAGCTGCCCGGGGCTTCCTCTGCCTCCCTACAAAGCGGAGGGGGTTCGCTGCTTGCCGCCCCGTTCTCCGATGACCCCCTCGGCCAGATGCCTTGCGTCCGGCCAGAGGGGTTCACTGGGGAACGGTGCTGCGAGTGGCAAACCTCTGACGCTTTTCAGGGAGACAGGGGAAGCTTCGCCCAGCTGCCGGCCACCGGCTGGCCCTAGGGGAAATCGTGTTATTGCAGGGACGTGGTCGTGTTGTTTGAAAAATGTTGCCAAAAAAAAAAATCGTGCTATCGTGAAAACGTGTTAAGCGGGCACATGTTAAGTGAGGAATTACTGTATTTCACATTTAGTTTTCCAGGTTCTGAAAGCAAAGACGATCAGTTACTTGGCTTCATATTTTATAAGCTCCACTGCTTTTTCAGTGGAAATGTGATTTTTTTTTTAAACCAGAGCTTTTGGGGCATACAACCACAAGTTATCCCTTAGAAATCCATAGGTCTTGTCCAGACCTGTATTGGAAATCAAGGGATACCTGATAGTGGTCACTTAACACTACATACGAAATGGTCTGTATCCTATATACACCTGTGTGGTATTGTCCTGTATACAGTTGTTTTCTCTTATGTAGGAGTGTGGGTATGCATAATTATATCAGCTTGTAATATACACAGTATTTTATATAATTGCGCACAATTTATTTTCATGCACAAGCCTAGTGTTTTAAAATGGGCATGATAAAAAATTAAAATATATTTTAGGATATTCTTCTGCAACTAAATTTTTAATGTTGTTTTCATTAGGTTCCCCCTGACCTTCAAAATGAAGTGCTAATTAGTTTATTAGAGACGGACCCAGATGTTGTAGACTATTTGCTGAGAAGGAAAGCTTCCCAGTCATCGTGAGTAACCTGTTTTTTCATCATCTCTGTTCCTGCTGGGAATTTTCATTTTCCATTGGAAGTGTTCAAAAGATTCTAGTTTTCCTCACTTCTTGTTTGTATTCTCTGAAGGAATAACAGAGTGACTATGTCTGAATAGTGTCACTATAACATTGACTCTGCCGAAGAAATTAGGCCTCTTCAGCATTATTTTCTAAAGACAAAAGTTGTTTATTGTTTCTAAGAAAGGTTTGTGTACTGTTGCAGAGAACATAATGTTAGGTGTACATAAATATATTCAGTGCACTATAACCTAGTAATCCACTGGTACATGTCTTGTGTTTTGTTGTGATCTTGTGCATTTGGTAACAAGGGTACATATTACACTATCATTGAAACATACCCTGTAGTGCCTTAACAGAACAATGGCTAGAAGTTTGGCCAGTCTTTTGCCCCCCTTCTGTCGTATGCATTCATACAGTTCCAAAGTAGACATGACATTGCTAACACTGATTGCTGTAACAGAAAATGTATTGACAGTGGAAGGACATATCTAGCAGTATGTTTAATGAAAGTCATGATGAGGAAGAAAAAAAGAAACCCTGCCAGTCACCAAAGCAAATGTGGTACATGAAATATTTGTGTTCTTTGATGTTAAACATTTTCTATGCCTATCTATACCCATGTGCCTTGGTGCTATAACTTTATACATTTGGAACAGTGAGATTGCCAGCTGTCTAACAGGATTCCTTCTGGCTTTGGTAGGTCCTGGGACATCAGACCTTAAAATCATGACATTTTTATATATGGTAATTCTATCTAAGGTAATTTTTTAGGAGTTTCCTAGATTGAAAACTATTTGGGACAGGCTGGATTGAATCTTCCTGTGTATATGGAATATGCATAGCACATTGTGGTTGCTTCCAGAATAAACAATTAGTTTCTAAAATTCACCAGAAATAATTTTTCTGTCTCTCAAAGGCCTATACATCTGGATTTATGGCAGTAAAAGTCCATGACTTTATAAGCAGAGGTATGCAAGCAACAATATCATTAACACTCCTTTAAAAACTCTCTCTAAAATAATTTTTACAATTTTTAAAAATCTTGCCATATACAAGTTACATGAAGATGTAGTATTGGATGGTCACATCATTTCAAACATACACATCAACATAACATAACATAAGAATGGCCAAACTGGGTCAGACCAAAGGTCCATCTAGCCCAGTGGCCAGCACCAGGTGCCCCAAAGAGAGTGGAGCGAAGACAATGATCAAGCGATTTGTCTCCTACCATCCTTCTCTAGCCTCTGACAAACAGAGACCAGGGACACCTTTTCTATCCCCTGGCTAGTAGCCTTTTATGGACCTAACCTCCATGAAATTATCTAGCTTCTCTTTAAACTCTGTTATAGTCCTAGCCTTCACAGCCTCCTGTGGCAAGGAGTTTCACAGGTTGACTACACGCTGTGTGAAGAACTTTCTTTTATTAGTTTTAAACCTGCTACCCATTAATTTCATTTGGTGTCCTCTAGTTCTTCTACTTAAAGAACTAATAAATAACTTTTCTTTATCCGCCCTCTCCATACCACTCATGATTTTATATACCTCTATCATATCCCCCTCAGTCTCCTCTTTTCTAAACTGAAAAGTTCCAGTCGTTTTAACCTCTCTTCCTATGGGACCTGTTCCAAACCCCTAATCATTTTAGTTGCCCTTTTCTGAACCCTCTGCAAGGCCAAAATATCTTTTTTGAGGTGAGGAGACCACATCTGTACACAGTATAGTATGTGGGCGTACCATAGTTTTATACAGGGGCAGTAAGATATTCTGTGTCTTATTTTCTATCCCTTTCTTAATAATTCCTAGCATCCTATTTGCCTTTTTGACCGCTGCTGCACACTGTTTTGGAAGTTTTCAGGGAACTATCCACGATAACTCCAAGATCTCTTTCCTGATTTGTCATAGCCAAATTAGCCCCCATCATACTGTATGTATAGTTGGTGTTATTTTTCCCAATGTGCATTACTTTACACTTATCCACATTAAATTTCATTTGCCATTTTGTTGCCCAGTCACTCAGTTTGGTGCGATCTTTTTGGAGTCCCTCACAGTCTGCTTCTGTCTTGACTATCCTAAACAGTTTGATATCATCCACTAACTTTACCACCTCACTGCTTACCCCTTTCTCCAGATCATTTATGAATAAGTTGAACAGGATTGGTCCCAGGACTGACCCTTGGGGGACACCACTAGTTACCCCTCTCCATTCTGAAAATTTACCTCCCACGACAACCTAATTTGCACAAGAGCCTTTGGTGAGGGACCTTGTCAAAGGCTTTCTGAAAATCTAAGTATACTATATCTACTGGATCCCCCTTGTCTGCATGTTTGTTAACCCCTTCAGAGAACTCTAACAGATTAGTAAGACAGGATTTCCCTTTACAGAAACCATGTTGACTTTTGTCCAACAAATTATGTTCTTCTATGTGCCTCACAGTTTTATTCTTTACTATTGTTATGACTAATTTGCCTGATACTGAAGTTAGACTTACTGGACTGTAACTGCCAGGATCGCCTCTACAGCCCTTTTTAAATATTGGTGTCACGTTAGCTACCTTCCAGTCATTAGGTACGGAAGCCGATTTAAAGGATAGGTTACAAACCACAGATAATAGTTCAGCAATTTCCCATTTGAGTTCTCTTAGAACCTTTGGATGAATGCCATCCAGTCCCGGAGATTTGTTGACATTAAGTTTTTCGATTTGTTCCAAAACCTTCTCTAATGACACTTCAATCTGGGACAGTTCCTCAGATTCATCACCCACAAAGGACGGTGCAGATTTGGGACTCTCCCAAATCAGTAGACGCTTTTATGTTAGACTTCACTATCTATGGTATATAGAGATGTATGATTGTGTTTTCCATGTGGATATATTTTCTGATTTATCAAAGACTTAAGTCACAAAACATTGTACATGTGAAGGTTTATTCTTGAATCCTTCCCTGAATACTCTTGAAAACTGTTTTACAAAAGACTCACTTTTCTAGGTGATTTATGTTGATTTAAATATGTTTTATGTTGAAAACTGTTGGGTAATAATTTGGCTAAGAGATTAAACCAGTGTTTCTCACAAGTGGTCCACAGACCCACTCTGAGAAAGCTGCTACTGGGACACTGCTTCCAATGGCTCCGCTTGGCTGCAAACGGTGAACTGCAACCAATAGGAGCCGTGAGGCTCCATGGCTGCAGAGCCAGTAAGTAAACAAACTGGACCAGTCCAATACCAGCTTTCTCAGTGGGTCCACAGACCACTTTGAGAAACACTGGCTTAGAAAGAATATTGGCTCAAGTGGTAATGCAAGGAGTGCACGATTTTAAAGAGATGGGTATGTTGTAGAAAATAATTTCCATTTAGAGACTTGGTGGCATTTTTCTGGCTACATATATCTTGGTAATTTTCCTGTGAGAAATAAGAGGCAGTAGAGAAAAAGGGAGATGTTCACATAGATGTCATCAAAATGATTCAAAATGTCATCAAAATGTTCCTTCATGGATTTTTGTTGACCATGTATTTGAATGTGGATTTCAGTTTTGATCCATATGATGGAAAACTTTAATTATTCCTCAATAATTAAATAAGACTCCATCAGCAAAGAAATGAGTTGGTTTCATAGCATAGTGTGTATGAACAACGTCAACATTTTATTCTCATGCAAATTATCCTGAGGTTGCTACTACTGATGCACATACTCGTCTAGACTTCCACATCTATATTTTTAATGCCACTGCAAATGTTCTTGACTCTGTATTGGCCATAACATAGCAATCTCTCTCTTTTTTATTTTTCCTCCTCAAAGGCAGACAAAATAGAGTTTGCCTCATTCTCCTCTTTTCTTAAGCTTAGAGTATCTTGTGTGAAACATCAGGGAAAGGTAATAAAGTGAGGCATTGAGAAGTGATAATTACTATTAACATTGAACTAAATACTACATTATCTTTGTGGATAATTTTCCTGACGTTTTTGTACTTTGATTTGATGACAATGAAACTTGGGTTGGCAGCTGCAAAGTGAACCAAATGTAAATGACCTATAAGTAAAAATTATTCCTTAGGACCATTTAATGTTGTCCATATTTAAGTAGTCATCATAGACAAATATTTGAAAATCGTAGGTTTTTTGTTTTGTTTGAAGTTCTCTTTAGATAATGATTTTTAATTAATGCTAATTTGTGACCGAGGTAAAAGATTACATTTTAAATCTTACCATCCCTCTCCAGGTGGAATTGGAATATAGATTTTCCTAAAATAGTTAGAAATCTGTTGTATTCTTTATAGTTTTTAATACTGCACTCATTGTAATATCTGAGTGCCTTGAGGTAGTGGCATTAAGCCATATGACTACATGTTTCTCATGTGCTGTTTATTCTGTCATTTTCTCTCCAAAGAAAGACACACATGCAATAGAGTGTCTTGTTCTCATAAAGTGTCTTTATATCTGTTATTTGCTTATGTTAGAGAAGAAAAGGTCAAAAAACTGTGCCTTGCACTTGTAGCAGAAGTTGGTGATATTTGTGGCGATTCTTAGTTTTTGAGTGGGAGTTCACTGTAGTCTCAGGTGCTGCTATACCATTGCTCTATATAATAGTTGCCTCCTTTAAGAGTGAGTGATTGTTATACTTTTTTGGAAGGTTTGAAATGTTGGGAGAGAGAAAAAAAGACTCTTTGCTTGGATGAGCAAAGTGTATAGATTCCTTCCCCCTCCCCCGGTTTTTCTGGACCTTGATAACCAGGGTAAGTCAGAAATGCACCCTCCGTAGAATGATTTGTTATTAGTAGAAGTATATATAATGCAGCCAAAGTAGCAGTATCTGAGTGACATTACATAAGTTCAGAAGGACATCAGTTCCCTCAAGGAAATGAACAGGGTTCCTTTAATGGCATTTTGTGTTTTGCTCTGGAAGCTAAAATGGTATTTTTGAACTAGTCTGTAGTAGATCAGCTTGGATTTACAAAGT